GCATCGGAATGATATTCGCAATGTTCATTTTATTGGTACCATACGGGATAAGGAGGGAGCTTTGGTTTGGTAAGAGTTGAGGTAATCGATCCGGTATTCATTAGATGTTTAAACATCTCACCCAATGAGATAGGTAAGGGTGGTAGTTGCTCGAGTTCTTTTTTGTAGGCCTGGTTATGAGTTGGTGGATTTTGAAAATTTGTAGTAGCTTGAGGGAATTGATTTACTTGGTAAGTTTGATGAGGTATGTAGGATGAACTTGATCGATTTAACGGGTATGTTTGGTTTATGGTGTTTGTTAGGTTAGGGGTATATTAGGTGAATGGAGGTCTTTAGGGGTTATTGGAACTGCCATAGTTTTTATGCTATCTTTGATTACTCTTTTGATTGTTTGATGGATAAGATCTAGTTCCAACTCTGATGTATCTTCTCATCTATTCTCTTGTTATCACTCGCCTCCTTTCTTTTTAGAACTATCGAAACCTTTCTAGCTTTAATTGTTTGCTCCACCCTTTCGGCTATAATAACAATGTCGGTAAAGTTAGTTGAAACATTACCAATTAAATACTCAAAGTAGGGTTCTTTGAAAGTATTCAAAATATTGAGATTAACTCATATTCTAGTAATGGTGGATAGATTCGAATCGATATCTCGTGCCATCTTTGTACGTACTCGCTTAACGGTCTATTTAACTCTTTTTTTCATATCTTGGAGATCCGAACGATTCGAGCCACTTCCATGTTAAACTTGTATTGCTTGAGAAAAGCATCAGCTAGATCTTTCCATCCTCTAATCTTGGACCCCTTTAACCTCATATACCAACTCAATGCCGATCCGCCTAAGCTTTCATGAAAGAAATGTATAAGTAGTTTTTCATCATGAATAACATCCGTCATCTTATCGTAGTACACCCTCGAGTGGGTTATAGAACACTAGGTTTCGGTATATTTAGCAAAATCCGGCACCTTAAACTTCTTCAAGATTACCAAATCGAGTACTAGACACATTTCAACGGCTTTGACGGGATCGTAGACATCTCGCTCCCTCTATTAACTTAGGCGTTCTTCTAATGCCATGAGTTTATCCATACTTAGACCCTCGACTGTCTTATAACCGTGAGTTTCTTCTTCGCAGGATCTACGGGGGTATATGTGGCATTTGCGGGACTCGTGGGTCCATGGGATAAGCAAATGCCCTAGCGGTATGTGAGCCATCGACTCGAAAAGTTACTTGATTGGAATTCCCCGACCGATTGGGCAATGGAGCAACATGAGGTACTTCGGGTTATTCCCGCCTTGATTCAAGCCACCTTCTCCTTTTAAGGCTTGTTCTAATAGGGATTTCATGTGAGCCATACTCTCTTTCAGCCGAGTCAAACGCTTGCCGATCGATTGCCTCCGGTCGTGGTCTTTCTTTATTTTTCATTTGATGAGTCCGAAGTCGAGTGTTGTAGACGTACGAAGGGGATTGAGTAGAGCGACCTATGTTTACTTCACTGAAAATGCAACATAAATATATAAAAATAAATACTTAATGCAAATGCATGATTTTGAACCGGGTTGGATACCTTTCTTTATTTTGTTGCACATTAAATCATGACGTAATCCTATCGAGGATGGGTTAGACCAAACTAGTACTCGTTAAAAGTAAAATTACCCTACGTATACTTAGGCGATTAGGAAGATATGTATGCCCCTAATTTCAGTCATGACTTGATTTTGGAATGATAAAACCACTCTTGTTATAAGCACACGAAAGGCAAAACTTTTTTTTCGCAGTCTCGACACGAAATTCAAGGGTAGACAATCTCCTTTATCATTTCTCCGCTCAAATACGAAGGATAACCTTCACTAAAAATTATAAAAATACCCTTGAAATACCAAGGGTCGGTAATGATTCGTGTCTCAATTAGGTTAACCCTAATAGACAAGATCTAGCTTTTCTATAATTGAGCAAAGCTTGACTAGTCCTAAAGATATTTCAAGTTTCTAGACTATCTAAACTATCGGTGGGATAATCCAACCTTTAACCTTATACACTAGAGGTAGTGGAAGGTTATTCCACCATTTTCGATGTATTGGGTGAGTTTCGGTCAAACAAGAGTCTAGAAGAGCATCGATAGACTTTCTTCATACTCGCCTCCGATTCCTTTATCTAAGTCCTATCGGGGTTTAGCTTGGGTTCGAGCTTTTATAGGTTTTCTTCGTGGTGTGTGCAACGGAATAAACAAAAATATGCAACCCAATTCAAAAAATGAACATGCCATGAGAAAATAGAATATAGAAAATAAATTACAAGAATATAAATATATACAAAAAAATGAATTCAAAAAATAAAACGACAAAAAAATAATAATAAATAAACATAGGAGATAAATTAAAAAACTAAATCTATGGCCTAACTCTACTCCACGACGGAGTCGACATTCCGTCGCTACTCGACGTCGGACGAGACTCCTCAAAAATATCTAAAATTAGATTTGGTATTTACAAGTTTATTTATAGAGTTTGGAGTCACCACCTAGTATTAAATGAACTAGGAACCTAAAATGAAAAGCTGGTTTGAAGATTCTATGGTAAAGAGTTGGTTACGCTTTTGAGAAGATATCGATAACCCAAAAGCGCCCTTTTCGAAGAAAGGTACCACGTCCGGTTTAGTTCTAAATTTATCTCCTAAAATATTTTATTTACATCAAATTATTTTTTGATTTTTAAACTCTTATTTTTTTAAGACAAATTGAATTTTTTAGTTTTGGGTGTGGTATCGTATTGAAACGTTCATTGGTCTCCTTCGTCGGGCAACACGTCGATTCAAACATTGAATCCACTTTAAGCCTTGACATAACCGGTGTGTCGGAGGACATTTTGATTAAACAAATGAATTTTGGTGACGTTCTTTTTGGTGGCATCGGTCCGTATAAGATAGGAGACTTCGTCAAGATTTTTTTAATTTTTTTTTTAACAATACATATTAAAAAAAATTGAAGTAACAATTCTAAATTAATATAAGAAAGGAAAAAAAATGATAAGGAATAAAAATAAACAGAGCTAAAAAAATAAAAGTAAAAAATAAAAAATAAAAATTACGATAGATAGATGGCTAAAAAAAATAATAAATAAATCATGATAGGTTTAAACTATTAACTTGCAACTTTTTTTTTACCCCCTTCCTTTTTCCTTTTCTTTCTTATTTATTTTTTATTTTTTATTTTTGGGAGAAGGCTTGTTAAAAGAAATCAACTAGTGCATATTTTGCCTTCTCATTTTTTATTAAAAGCATTCTCCTTTTTTTTTTTCTTTTTTGTTATTTTAGGGTAAGGACCATGGGCTGGACCCTTTCGTCTCCTTCTTTTTTTTTTTTTTTTAGCCATGGGTCGGACTGGATTGAAATCGAGTCCAGCCCTTGTTTTTTACTCTAATGGGCTACAAATCGAAAAACGAGCCCACTTCCCTTAATGTTTTGATCAAAACACATTTTTTAAGTTTCGATTCTTTCTCTTTCTTGTTCTTTACGTTCTTAACTTCCTCTCTCTATTTTTTTAAACTTTCAAGAACAAACGATTAATTACACAAACTAACGAGTTCATGGCATGAAGATACTAACGAGCAAACAATTATCACTAAAGCAACAACGAAATCAAAATGGGAAGATCGAACCCGAGAGCCGACTTGGACATCACTGGTCGAAGAACATCAAGCAAACCTGAAAAAAAAAAAGAAGAATTGACGAACCCAAAAACAAAGATGTTTTTGACTATTGACCCTCGATTTCTTGTTTTAACACTCAAAAAACAATTATATTCCTTAAAATAGCCTTGAATAATCCTTTTCAATCGACCTAAGATGAAGAATGCAAACCCGGAATGAAGAACACTAACCCTGAAAAAACAAGAACAAATTCAAACGACGCCCGGATATTCAAAAGAGAAAACTCGGATGTAGAAGAAATGAACCCCTAAATTTTGTAAGGTAGTTGAGAAGCACTTGAGGATGGAAAATTAACCCCGAAAAAACGACAAACAAAGGACTAAAGGAGATTGCCAACCGATGAACTCGAAACCTAGAACTCCAAGAACACTAAGAACACAAACCCGAAACTCAAAGAATCGTCACCCCAAATTTTCGAATCTTTTGCTCTTAGTTTTCACTCTCTCTAAACCCGGACTTCTCCTCCTCCTTCCTTTTTTTTCATTTTGTGAAATTCAAAACGTTTTATAGCAAAACATTTCCTAGAATTTCTCCTAGAATCGAATCTCAAATCCCAAATTTTTTTATCAAAATTTTTCCTCTTTAATTCATGATTAATGCAAAATCAAAACAGAAATTGCTTAATTTTCTATTGGTATTAATTCCGTTCAATAATCATGATAAATGCAAAATCAAAACAGAAAATTTGATGGAGGATTTGGCAGATTTCTCCCAAATATTTTCGGACAAAATTTGCATTGGAGTGGAAGACAGGTTGTCTTCTCCATTTCGATCATGTTGTTCGCTCCAAACTTGCAGCTTGGTCCTCATGCATTTCAAGTCCAGCGATCACGCCATTCAATGATACAATTTTAGTCTTTATAAAGTGCAATCTTGTTAATTGGATCCATGTGAGGTGCAATTTAGGGCCTAAATTTCTTAATTGACTCGATTACACCCCTAATTACTTTAATTGTGGCCCTAAATGATTTTTTTTCGTGTTTTTCATTAATTTTTTTTTTTGAGTAAACTTCAAATTAAAACAAAACAAAATATACATGAAATGAAAAGTAAAAACTAAATAAAAAAAAAGATAAATTCTGGGTTATTACATGTTTAAAGGGCTTTCACTATAGAAATTGTATTATTGATTTCATCTAAAATCTATCCCGGAACCTCACTTGATAATTTAAACGTTTAAAGAGCTTTCACTATAGAAATTGTATTATTGATTTAATCTAAAATCTATCTTGAAACCTCACTTAATAATTTCAACTTTTACATTAAGATGATTCTTTGACGGGCAAAATCTTTATGCTTGATGTTATCAACCTAAAAGAGTTAGCACAAGCGACACAAGAGACAAGGAGCGTAATTTTATTATTATTATTATTATTATTTTGAACGACAAAAAAATCAAGGAATCAAACATATCTCCTAACCTCCAAGCCAATCCTTTAGAGTTATGGTGGCATAACTTTGATTTATTTCTTCTAGCTATGATTTCTTCTTACAATTATGCTGGTGTCGCATTGAGATAACTAATTGCTCTTTCACTGAATTTAGCATGTCTCTATTTTGTTTCTCTTTCTACGATCATTGTTAATATTTCTTGCTATTTCATAAAAATTGCTAGCTCTCATCCATATATGTTTGATTTCATTCCCTTTCATGCATAGACATGAATAGGAGCTTGGCTAAAAAGGATCTGGAACGAGAAAAGAAAGCACGTATTTGCATTGAGAGTCGCTGAAATCCTAATAAAGAAAGATTTGTCATGGATTCCGTCTGAAGGAGGAGGCTGCGCAAGAGGGGCAGAAACTAGATTAAACTCATCATAATATACCGGAACACCGGAACAACATCCTCAGGCTTCTCAATATGACTTTATTAGGTCATCGGATATAGTGAGTGAAACAACATCCTCATGCTAGTACGAAGGAGAACCCGTTGTTTGCTGCAACTAGAAATGGAATAGAAGAAATTGTGAGTGTGATACTAGAAGAACAACCTCATGCTATTGAGCACCTGAATGACATGGGGTGGAGCATTTTGGATGTGGCCGTCATGCATCGCAAGAAAGAGATCTTCAGTTTTGTAAAGCGAAATAAAATATCATTGGCTAGACTGCGTCGACTTATTGACAGGGACGACAACACAATGTTGCACCATGTTGCAGATATGGAGCACTACAGTCGAGGAACCAAGCCTGGGCCTGCACTTGAACTTCAGGAAGAGTTGAAATGGTTCGAGGTGAGCTCTTCTCATCCCTGTATATTTACCTCCGGGGAGAAATTATTGACGGACTAAATACAGAATTATCCATATAGTTTATGAAAAAAATATCTTTCATTTTTATCGTGATTTATGTTATTTTCTCTCATATGAATGCTTCAACAACTATTACTTTAAACTACAAATATATTTATTAGTACTTAATAATATTGTTAAATCATTTGTTATATATTATTATTTGTCATTCTCTTTAACTTCTTTTAAAATAATTTTAATTCTTTTTTTTCTTATTTTCTATAAGTTGACAATATAATGATGTCTAAAATTTATATTATCGTTACCATTGCATTATATACAATTCAATCAATTTATTCCTGCCAAACATCCATGTACTATATATATATATATATGTGTGTGTGTATTTTCTATTTTCATAAAAAACACATAAACTTAATAGAATAATATTTGTTTTTGGAAGGTAGCTAAATTATTGGAGAATATGATAATGATTGTTCCACTAGTTTTTTAGTTTTTATTTTCTTATCTGAATTTATTTAATTTTAAGGATGGTAAATAATTATTCTGTACCTAACCTTGCAACTCCTAGTCTTTGAGTCAGTAACCACTTGACCAATATATTATTAGCTTTTATTATGTATATTTAATTTATGTGATCAAAACATATACTTATCGATAGTGAAATTACTAGCCATCCAACATTTTTCTTTTTAATCTCTATTGTAGTATTCTAATAAAAAAAAACAATTTAACTTAGATTTTGTTTTCAAATAATTCCACTTAATATATATTATTAATGTTTTCTCTATACAAAAATCTCAAATTACAATTATTTCTATATACTACAAATAAATGCATTGTTTTAAAATCATTAATCTTTATTGTCTTTTATTGGATATATTTACTATATATAAAATTAAATCAACTTTCAACGTATATTATGTTGTAATTATCTATAGCATAGTTAATATCATCCATGAACAAAAGAGGTTCTATTCTAAATAATGTAGTTTTACCAAAGTTGCATTTCATCGTGTTATTCTTTCAATCTACTTTTTACTATATTTTTATTTATCTTCTAAGCTAATATTATGTTTATGATATTTATATATTATTAGAAAGTAATATAAAATCATTTATATATGAGACTTTACCCAATAGTTTAAGTTTTTAGATTGAAATAATTTTTTGATATAGTATCGGAATCTTGATGACCAAACGATCGAGAATTCGAATCTCACCATTCTCACTTTCCTTTCTAATTAAATAATTAAATACAAGGTAATAATATGTCGGGACAAGTTTCAAGCCTAAAAGTTTAAATTTTTGGATTGAAATTTTTTTTTAACATATATATAATCAAAGAAAATATCTATATAATTTTAGTTTGTTTGGTCCGGTATAAAGAACATACCCAAACTGTTTTTTGTCCTAAAAAAGTTTGAACACCAAAAAATAAAAATAAAAATTATATATATATATATATATATGAGAGAGAGAGAGAGAGAGAGAGATTACTTGTTATACCGGCGCATTGATAAATATGGAGTTCATTTCTCGTTACTCACTTGTAGAAGCCGGCGAATTCTTTTCTGGTTAAATATCAATACGTGATCTATCTTTGGCTGCATAAAAGATATTAAGAACTCATTTTTACCAAAAATTTGGTTTTAGGTTTCATGTGATAGCTATTGTATATATTTATCTCCCAACTGTTGCAGCGAGTGCGCAAGGTAATTCCATCCCATTATGTCGGGCTTCGGAACAAGAAAGGCAAGACTGCAAAAGAGCTCTTCGACGACAACCATCAGGAGCAACTGAAGAAGGCACAAAAATGGATTAAGGAAACCACTCAGTCTTGTTCTTCTGTAGCTCTACTTGTTGCTACTGTTGTCTTTGCTGCTGCCTATACTGTACCTGGAGGTTCTGATGAGAAAGGCACCCCCAACTTCATCAACTCTCCCTATTTTCTGGTTTTCACCGTATCGGATGTTGTCTCCTTGGCAAGCTCCTTGACTTCGCTTGTGGTGTTTCTCTCTTTGTTGACCTCTCCATTTGAGCTGCAAGATTTCCATGTCTCTCTTCCTGGAAAACATATCACTGGCTTCACCTTCCTCTTCTTCTCGGTTATAACCACCATGCTATCTTTTTGGGGCAACAATTTTGATACTCATTCAATCAGAGAAAAAGTTAACTACATTACTCCTTTCCATTGCTGCATTCCTTCCTGTCTTGGTATTTGCAATAATGCAGCTCCGTCTCTACGTCTCCTTTATGGGCTCTAATTTCAACTGCCTCAAGATTATCCCAAAAGCTCTTCCTTCGTGTCTTGTTCCTCGCCTGCCATGGGGGAAAAAGCTCAACTGAGCTGGTTATTGGAGATTCAAGTGGCATAAAGTCTGGTTTCGACCTATAGCCCATTGATCATTACATACAGTGTGTTGCAAAATCTATGGTTGTTGTTTGATTTCGTGATATTTTTACCGGGTTGTGTACTCGTCAATACTGGCCTTGAAGCCAATACGTATTATGTATAAATACTGTGTCATAGCTTGGTATTTAATTGAGGATTGGGACGATGTTTAGCCCTTTCTGCTAGCTTCCATCGGTTACTTGTAATAAAAATGGGTATAAGTTTGTGTTTATGGTTGCTTACTACATATTTTCTCTTACCTTATTTGCTATGTTGCTTTAATTATAATCTCATCAAAATCACTTTTCTAGTTTAAGTTTTCCTTCTTTCTTACTTTTCCTTTTTTCCTGCTTGTCAGGAATATTATTTTGGTAATATGTGATTGTGACTTAAATAGTTCAAATTCAAATAGAATTGAAAAGTATTATAAATAATGATAGGTTAACGTTCCATCTTATCTCATAGTTCATATTACTCTCTTTAATCTGTATTTATGCACAATGGAATCAATGAAAACAATATGAGGTTTTTTATCTCCATCTTTTTCAACTAACACTCTTCTTAAAAATTCTTCTCTCTCTCTCTTCTTTTTTGAAAAAAAAAATTATAATCTTATCTTTTTCTTTATAATCATCAAGAAACGAGCATGGAAAAAGGCACCTTCACCTTTATATATATATGTTTGTTGATTTGATATATATATATCAAATCAACAAACATATTGAGAAAGCAACAATTAATGCAAATTCAACGAAGATCCGTAAAAGCAGGTTCATCCACAAAACCCATTGCAACTTTACTTCATTCGCCTTGATAAATATTGTTGTTAAAGTTTTCCAAACATTCTTAGGTGTCTTGACACCCTTAACATGCCTCAATAACCCATACTTAGTGTTAGAAATCTTGGATATGTTAAATAATAAGTTAAATGTATTATGAAGAAAGTTTGAAAGTGTTTTCAAGTGGAATTTTGATCCTACATTGAAAAAAAAAAAAAAAACTTATAAAGTGGACCTCTAGTAAAACTTTTAAATATTTAGTTGAAGGAATTGGAAGGAAAACTAAACTAATTGGTTAAAATTATATATATAAATATATATATTTAAATAATGAAAGACTAGCACTTAGCACGAGTGTGATTAAAAAAATTATTTTTATTTCTTAAGGACATTGAGATATTGGTTCAATCACTTAAGCTATCATTTATTCCATTAAGATTTTGAGATATTTATACTAAAAAGGAGATTCAAATTAAGAGACATCTTCCTTTTATGCATGATACTATAAGGACTTAATATTATTATCTAAGTAGGGGATTGTTAGAAATCTTGAGTATGTTAGATAATAAGTTAAGTATGCTATGAAGGAAATTTGAAAGTTTTTTTAAGTTGGATTTTTATCCCACATTGGAAAAAAAGAAAAAAAAAGGAGCTTATTATTAAAGGACCATCTCACTTAAAAGCTTAAGTTGATAGGTGAGGCCCTAACACCCCTCAAGTGAAAACCCCAACATTTGGGCTTCAAACTTACACATGTCCACATTGTCTTATGCTTAATACTTGAGAAATTGGGATAGTGAGATTTGAACTCAAGACCACGTAATCAACCAAGCTCGATACCATATTAAAGAACCATCTCACCTAAAAGCTTAATCTAATAGGTGATGTCCCGGAATATAATTTATATTAGTCTCTAACACACCCCTTCAAGTGAAAGCCTCAACATTTAGGCTTGAAACTTGCGCATGTCCACATTGCCTTGTGCTTTAATACTCGAAAAGCTTAAGCTTAAGCTCGTTAGGTAAGGCCTCAAGATATGATTTGTATTATTCTCTAACACACTCTCTCAAGTGAAAGCCCTTTGGGCTTGAAACTTACATATGCTTATACTACCTTGTACTTAATTAATTAGAAAAGAAAGTGAGGGTGGTAGGATTCGAACTCGCAACCATTTGGTCATTAAAGCTCTAATACCATGTCAAAAGACCATCTCACCTAAAAAATTAAGTCGTTAAGTAAGGCCTCAAGATATGATTTATATTATTCTCTAACACTTATAAAGTGGACCTCTAGTAAAACTTTTAAATATTTAGTTAAAGAAATTGGATGAAAAACTAAGCTAATTGGTTGGAAATATATATATATATTTAAACAATCAAAGACTAGCACTTAGCACATGTGTGATTAAGAAATTTATTTTTATTTCTTAATATAATTAAATTCATAATTATTTTAATTATTATTTTTTATTTTTTTAATTGTAGTTGAGTAGTTATTAACGACTTTCAAACAAATGTAATAGTTGACCTTATGACTATTAGAATCCAATAGTTATGATTGTTAGATTGTGACTATTAATTAGAATCCAACATTTATGATTGTTGGATTGTGACTATTAGAATTTAAATGTTAATTAGTTAATTTCAATAGTCACTTATGTTATGAAAAAGTATTAGTAATCTATAAATAGGGGACTACCGCACAGGACAAAATTCAATTTATTTTCTCTACAATCCTCCTCTCCTCTCAAAATTTTTTTTCCTTCTAAAACTCTACAACTTTAAGAGATATTCTCTTGAAGGAATTTTAGGAGCGATGTCTCGAGTTCCTTGTGTGCGTAAATTGTATCGTAAAGGTGAATTGCTAAAATCCCTACAACATTATAATAGGGACAATAAACATCTTTAGGACAATGTGAGGTATTTTCCGTACACAATTAAGCACTACATAATTCCGTTATTCTTCAAGATCATTTCAAGATTTCCAACACTCGAACAATTATTAAGAGTGTGTACAAAGCATGGTCACATTTAACCTTGTATTTTTTTATAACTCTTTTAGCTTAGTTGGTGGTATGAATTCGCTTTCCATCAAAAACAATCTAAGTATCCTACTCAAGTGGGTAAAATTGCATATGAGTGCTCTAATTATTATAGTTGTTCTAGTTGAGCTATTCTATTGAATTAGTCTGGGTTAGCTAGATCCGCCATAGTGACTTAGTAGCCAATTGTGACTAACCAAGAAAGAGTGGTCCTTAGTAGTCAATTGTGACTAACCAAGAAAGAGTGGTCCCAAACCGACGATTTTACGAGTCTTATACTCGTTTACTTGGCAAAAGAAGTCCCTAATTGATTTTATAGAATATCAAGCTTCAACCGTAACTTCAAATACGAAGATCCTTGACCGCTCGGATTTAATACCAATTCTAGAAATTTCTCAATCACAAAGATGTGAAGAGAGAAAATACCACACAATGCTATTTTATTAATTACAAATACTCATATACATCACTTACAACTCTTTGAAGATAGATATTATTTTTTATGCATAGGATCTAATAAACATAACAAATGCAAAGCTTTTAATCATTCTAGTGCTTTATCTCTATCATATTTGTACATAATACTCTCACTACATACTCTAGGTTACACCACTCAAACAAGTGAAATTGTCTCTTGTTTCCTAACTAACTCTCTATAGTTAATGGTTTGTTTCTCAACTTACTAGAACCAAATGCATATGAAGTGGTGTTTATACTTGTTGAAAACAAATTCTAGCCACACATTTAGTTAACACATATTAATAAGGTTAGGTGAGAGTTGAGAGAAATCTAAAAATGAGATATTTTGGTAGAAAGAAAGAAGAAATCTATAACTATTATGTTCTAGAATATGGATTTAGGTTTAGGCTAATTTTGGATTTTTGATTAATTTGAGCTTAGATTTAGGTTAATTTCAACCAAAGTAGTGACGATTCTTAGTATTTTAATGATGGGCAATAATGGAATACTATTGGTTTTTTTTTTTTGGCGCACAAAAAAAAAACAAAAAACAAAAGGGAATAATATCATATATATATATATATGAGATAATAGTTGTTATGTTACATGCTTGACAAGTGATTCATGTCAATACCGACCAATTGATAAATATGGAGTTAATTTCTCTTTAATCACTTGCAAAAGCCAATGAATTGTTTTCCGGTTGATTATCAATATGTGATCTATCTTTGGCTAAGAAAAAAGATATTCGAACTCATTTTTAGGCAAAAATTTGGTTTGGGTTTTTTCGTGATAACCATTATATATTCATCTCCCAATCTTTGCAACAAGTGCGCAATGTAATTAATTCCATCCTATTCCTGTAGAACATACGATTTTGTGAAAAATAAAGTTAGCTAGCAATGATCGGTTTGTGTGTACAATAAAAGTACTAGTACTTTCTAAGCTTTAATACATGTAACGCATTATTTCAAGTTCGAGTGAAAACGAGAAAAAAACTAACCGATAAGCTTTTGAGCGTAAATCAAATCATTCAAGGCCATCAAGCTAGGGGTAAAGAGCAATCCCGACGGAGAACAATGACTTAGTTTGGCAAACAATCGAAGCAATCGGGTATGGTCTCACGAGGGTAGACCATAACACATGAATAGTTAGCCATCCTCAAAGTTAAAAAAAAGACCTTCTACCTTAATGGGTTGAAAAAAAATGAAAAAACTCAAGTTCATAATGAACGAGTGATCAAGGCCTAGAGGCTAAGGAAATTTTAGTAGTACCGCAAGATAAGATCCTCTATATAAGTCTAGAAAGAGGCACCAAATGAGGAGTTGAGTGCCAACAAGGTGGGGCAATCTATGTTTGTCTTAGGTAAGAAACTAACCATTGTTATCAATCTTATTAATATATTTCGGGAACATCAACTCAAATGAAAAGACGAAACCATCTTTCGGGTTTAAAATTAAAAAGAAAAAAGAAAAAAAAAAGAGGTTCACTTTTCCCCACATATTTTCAAATAGGGTTACTAATTTAGTCTATTTTTAGGCAAAATTGCTTAGTTATCTTCTCATTTTTTAGGCAAGGTTATCAAATTTAGTT